GCCTTATTGTGTGTGTATTAGTGTTTGTAATTCTGGTTCTGGGGGGCTGTGCATATTTCCGTTGTGTGTATTTCTATGTGTGCGTATCTCTGTGTGTGTGAAGTATGAAATTTGGCAAGCGGCCCCCATGGGAGGAAAAAATGTGTCCAGTGGCCCCTGAATCAATTGAATTTGAGACCCCTGCCAAAGAGGGTGGTAATTGCTATTGGGGCAGCCAGGTTGCTATGGAAGACCCGTTCATCCAGTGGCTCCTTAGGGGGTGAACGCTACCAGCCATACATGGAACCGACAAGCGAGTGGCCCTGGATACAGGAGAATGCTGGGCAGTAGGTTAATTTGGGGCAACTTTGAGCAGTGGCATAACTGGAAGTAAGCAAGTCAATAGAACATGTAGAACTCTTTATTTACACACAGATGAACTGCATGAAAACAAAGATGAGTCCATTACATCTCCTTTGGCTGTTTTACCAAGGGCACTCACTTATAGTTTTGCATAACTGGCACCAAGCACTACTCCATTTCCCAGAATAACCTTTAAATACATTTAGACATGTTTCCTTTCTTTGGGAATAAAGTATGCAAATAGCTACATGCTGGTGTGACAGGTCTAATGAGATTCCCTTTTTTGAGCCGCAGAGCATCTGACACTAGTACAGAGGATGCTGCACTATGAAACTGCTTGTCCCATCTTTTCCAAAGTATAATTCCAAGCCATGTTTGTCTGACAGGTTGGCAGAGCTGAGTTTCGAAAATCTAAAAAGGGAAGAAAATGAACGTCAAATATATAAGGTGTCAACTGAAAAAGCCTATTCGTGTCAACTCTGATTTTCAGAATAATTTTCAATTATTTTGCATTTAATTGTACTGTGTGAGCATAAAATATGTAAATTTTGATTTATTGCGAGAGGACAAATAAAAGCCACACTTGTATAAAACTAAGTTCAGTTTCATTATACCTACACACATACACTATGGGGTGTATTTAAAAAAAATTGTAGAGCCATTTGTCTTGTAAATCTGAATGTACATTGATTCTGTGTGTATGGAGCACAAAGGAATGTTATTAGTAGGGATACACCAAAATTTAATTTTTAGACCAAAACCGAAATGTCAAAATTTGCCAGGCCGAAACTCAAAATTCCTTTTTTAACAACCCTTTTAAAACATAATGTAATTATTTTTTAAATTATTTATTATGGTTTTTTTTAACTTTACTGTTAGGGGCTTTGGGAAAATATGGTATACTTTATGTGTGTTGGGGGGGGCTTTATTTCTTTTTTTTAACTATTTTGTAAATATTTTTTTAATTACCTCTGATAATTCCCATACACAGAGTCCTCAATCTCTTTTTCTGCAGCCCCAGCACTGAATGAACAGGAAGCTCTCAGTACAGAGACGTTCTGTTCATTCACAATCTGGAGATAGTAAATATGTACCCATTCATAAATGGACAGGAAGCCTCTGTACTGACCTGCTTCCTGTTCATTCATAAACTGAGCAGACAGTAAATATTTGCTATGTCCACAATTATAAATCACTATCTCCTCAGTTATTTACAAACACTGAGTGATCAGTACCGATCACTCTGTGTTTTCTCAGTACAAAGAAGGATCTGTAAATATTTAACATATTTACCGATCCTGAAGCACCATTCCCTTCCACTGGAGCTTCCTGACAGCTTTCTCCTCCCCTCTGGGAGCTGGATTGGCACTGTGTCTCCTCCGATCCCACTGCCTCTGCCTATACAGGCTGAGGAAAGCAGCAGGGATCGGAGGGAACGCAGACTGAAGCTTGCAGCTGGCGCCCAGTTGGGACGAGAGAAGCTGGGGATGCATTTTTTGGCGGCCAAAATTTCAATGCATCCCTAGTTATTAGTATATTTTCTTTCCACATTGAATTAATATCAGGAAAATACCACATTATTGCCACTAAATGGAGCTGAGAAGCACAGGAAAAACACATTTTCTATGCTCGTCATCTCCATCTAGTAGCCATATTGTGGTATTTTCCTAATATTACATTTGACCTGGAAAGAAAATATAATATATATATATATAGATATATATATATACATATATATATACATATATAAATGTTAATTTAATATTTGTTACATGCAGTTTTACAGGTCAAATGGCTCTGCAAATATTTTATAAATACAGCTCATAAAGTACCTGCCAACCATTTAAAAATGATAGTCCCCATTAAGCTGGCCAAGCTGGCCAATAAGGATACGCTCACTGGACAGTGAAATGGTAGATTGCAGGGTTTTGTTAAGAAGTCAGGAAAATCAGAACCCTCGTAACAAAGCTATTTTAAGAGAGACAAACAGGTGAGATTGTTCTGGATAATAAAGGTAATAGCAGGCAGCTAATGGTGTCTGCTTTCAAGCAGGACTTTTACATATAAAACCTAAACCTCTCTTCTACTAGGAAGGATGCTTAAATGAAAAAAAACTAATAATCATATACAAATAGACTTTTCCGGGCCATTTTTCAGAGTTATATGGGGCAAGTTGATTGCATTTTTAAAGCCTCACAAACTTTATTTGAGTTGCCGTGATAGTTCACATACGTCTGAGCTCAAAGGGCTGATGTCTGAAGATGCTAGCTGCCTAGCTATCTGCAGCACACAAATCATTTTATTGCATACAAAAAATAAACTCTATGATTTATTCCCCTCTTTAGAACAAAACATTGTATCTCCCCAATTGGAGTAAACAAATTAAGTTTGGCCACAAACTGTCTACATATCCTGTTGTTTTTCAGTAAATTCACATGCATGTCCATGCAATCAATCTGCATGCAACCCAACAGCCTACATAGTAAAAATAAAAAGCTATAAAGCATGCATTTGCATTATGGTGGCCATGCACACCCAAGTGTCAGTACAATGTCAAAGTTTCCCAAAGAGAGATGAGCTCTTCTGAACTTGTTGAATGCTGAATATTTCCTATTAATAGCAAATATTGTGCTGTCAGAGTAAAAATGGCAGCGTATAGATGGGTATTTGTTATTGATCTGTTCAGAGGTACCAGCATATGACATTATGCATGTACTGGACATGGCCACAACTGGTATATATCTGCATGCGCACTGTGATACTCCCAGCACAACATACACTATGGCATTTTTAAGTTTGCACGTGCATTGCCTTAAAGAACTCCAAGCAAATAAAAGTGGGGCTACCACTGCACTGTAAGGGTTAAGTGCTAATTTTTTATCTAGGGAGCTAAAATAATAAAGTTATACTCACCCAAACCATGATCCCAGCGTGGGCGTAGCCCCACTGCAAGGGTTAAGATTTTATTTGCCCGGAGTCCTTCTTTAAGGCAATGCACGTTACATTCAGTGATAATGCGGTGCCGTTCAGTTTGAATGGCACCCAAGCACACCTTGCCGAAAAGCGGGTGCTGAAGCATGGCTACACACTCAGGTGCATTTCAGTGCACTGGTGAAAATGCTGTAAGCATGATTTTTGGTTCATTGTGGTGCATCGGGCAGTTCTTTCAAATGAATAGGCATCCCTAACTCAATGCATGTGACCGTACAACACAATGCATAGTAACAGTTGTGCGTTTAATACACCACAGCAAATCAGGCTGATGTGAATGGGCCCTTCAAAAATTAGGCCAGTGCCTGCCGTGTTCTAGATGTAGTAATAGGATGCAAGTGTCATTTATTAGTGTTAGTACTCAACTACATGTATTAACTATCATATGGGTAACCTCTTTTTAACAAATAACTCAAAGTGATATTAAAGGCAAAAGGTTTGCTGATGAAATCACTTACAATAAATGCTGCTCCTTGATGATTAAAAGTTTTAGTTTCCTGCAGAATCACTTGGTCCCCTCAGCATTGGTTCAGATATCCTGTTGTAGGGTGTCTCCTTTCCCTTGCAGGGTCCTATGGAGCCACCTTTGTGTGTGCTAGTAAACTGTGTGTTTCCATAAACACACAGACACAGCTGGGCATGCTATTCCCCTCTCCCCTGCTCCCCCCTCTTCCCTTCTCCCAGGTAGTAGATGGAGTCTGCTCTGCCCACTGTGACCTTGCACTGGACAGGAAGTTCAGGGAAGCTAAGCTGAAAGAATTAAAGCCAACTGTTCTCAAACATGATTACTGTAAGTGCTTGGGTGAAAATAAAAAGAAATATTTATGAGGTGAGTGAAAAGCACTCATCTCATAGTTCTCCTTTAATCTGAATTCGTTATTGAGATTTTGAGAGTTTATTACTTCTTTAACTGGGATATAATTTGAATGTGTTGAAAATGAGAAATTTGTCATGAGCAAGTTAATCTCATGCCAACAAAGTCTCATTGTTGGGGAACACAGGTTGTAGACAGGTAGAGATCAAGAACACTGGGACCTCCCTCCAGCAATCATGCATATTTCTGTAGCATTACTCTTCTAAATTGAAAAATGCAGAATTTGGTCCCATGTAAAGGGAGATTTTGTGTGAGGTGCTTATGATCACTTTTTTATAGTTCAGAAACATCCCAATAATCACAAGTGGTGCTCTTCCCTGAGGGTATGACTTGCTTTTATTATGCAATCTATGGCTGGCTTTGGGCAGCCATTAACATCAGTGAATATTTTAATGTGCACACGCACACGATATAAACGCTCTCAGGATGCTCAATCTGCAGAAAGCAGAGGGTAACAGAGAGAAAGGGCAAACATTGTCAGCGGCTGTGTAGTTTAAGGACCTGCTTAAAGAATCAATTCCCATCATATCTAATCTAATCAGATAAATACTCAAGTCTGAGTCAAAATCTGACTGTGTGTGGTGAGCATTAGGCGGATATCTCTGGCTGGATAGGTCTAGAGTTGATATGTGTGTGATAACCTTACCCAAGCATACCTGTGTCAGAAACTAGGTGCGTTATAGGTGGTGCTCGAGTCTCACTTGTAATAGTAAACGAGTCAGATCCAACCTCCTCACTCCTGAGTAGTACTTGTCAGACCTGTCCCACCTGTTCTCCTGAAACTCTTCTCCTTGTGCACCGAGACATCAAGCTGATAAGAAAACACAGATTTCAATACTGTCCCGGATTAGACCCTGGATTGAGCAAGGTAATCTGGCAGATTTATATATATATATACACAAATGTACATTAATTATTATTAATTAGAAGTCAGGACACATAACTTTTGTTTTCCTCAGTTGCTGCATATCCAAGGAAACCTTGAAGGCAACACAGTTTTACAATTGTTCCACCTACTGATTTTTTTTTTTTTTTTTTTACTGAACGCCATTAACCCACTACGAAACGACATCATGTAAATTTCCATTGTTTTTTAATGAATTACAGACTTTGTAAATCTTGAACTTATATTTTACATATGTTGTGTTAGAGGAGAGTTGAAAATGTTCAGCCTAAAATAATGCAAGGTTAAAAAAAAATGCGTGTGAGAGCACACTTCAAATGCAGGTCAGTTGTGTTATGATACAAGCACACCTTAGTGTTATGATGTGCAGTCATGGAAAACATTGAGGACCCGTTCACACTATATACGGTGACTGGTGTTTATTTGCAAATAAACAGTGCTAGTCACTTCCAGGACACACAGAAAACAATTGTTTCCTGTATGCCCTGTTAACACCATAAGGCTAGTATGATCTGCAGTGAGGTGCGCTGTAAAGAAATGCTGACATGCTCCTGGACCACTCTACAGTGCAGAGACATGCAGGAAATGTACAGTTTGTACACTGCGAATAAGAAAAAAGTAAACAGTTGGGGGGTTTCAGTTACAAAGGCAGTGCTGTCAATCCAGAAAGCGATGGACAGGACTAGGTTTGGCCAGATGCTGAGTGAGCAGTGACAATGCTAATAGCCGCCTGCAAAAATTTTCATCCAACTGTAGTGCAAACAGTCACAGCATGCAAGAAAGGGGTGACTCTGCTCTGAATTCAGGAGCAGTGCAGCATCGTTGCCACCTCGTTACAGAAAGCTGCATTAGGTGGACTTCACCAGCTGGCTGTACAGGTATTTGTAGGATTAAGAGAAAGTGTACTTTATTTTTGTTCCACTGAAAAAAACGGTATTCTAAAGCAGTAGCCATACTTTGGTCCTTCAGCTGCTGTGCAACTAAAACTCCCATCATGCATCTGCCCCTGGGAGTCATGTCTGTTGCTGTCTAATGTCTTGCAATGTTGATTGGGATTTGTAGTTTCACCATAGCTGGAAAGATGAAGTTTGACTACCCCGGGTCTAAAGCATTCATGCAACATCACTGTCAGAGAGAATATTGCTTTGGCTAATGCTGGGCACTGTCACACACCTTACAACCATTGCAAGACCTTTTGTCTTGTGATGGTTGTAAGGTAATTTAAAAAACGTACGATGATTTAGGAGTGATCCGTTGTGTGTTCACATCATAAGCCTCACTGTTTACACTATATGTAGTAGGAGGCATGTTTATTCATTACTTAAATGGAGCTCACACCTTCGTGGTAATAACGATACTGACATTTGGTAACGCATGAGTGCTAATATTTGGGGTGCAGACCAAACATTGAAGAAAGCAGTCTGGTAAAACCAATGTGAGTCCAATGGCAGAAGCAATATCCATTATGAGGTATGCATTTTAAAATGATCTACTTTGGTGTTTTTAGATCAGTGTTTCTTAATATTTTTCAGTCACGGCACCCATTAGAAAATATGCACATTCTCAAGGCACCCCAGTCTAAAATGTGCAAAACACAAATGTAAACAGCAACGTGTGGCCCCTTTAAAATCCATACCAGACCCATATGCCAGATAGGGCTCTGCTATGGATTTTAAGAGAGGTCCGCACAAAAAAGCACAATAATAGGGTTCTCCCTTCAAATAATGTTCTCATTTCTAATCAGAAGCCCCCCTTTACATTAGGTTCCCTCTTCACAGCAAGAGTCCCCTCCTTTCACATTACAGTTACACCTCGCACACTAGGATCCTCCCCTCACATCAGAGCCCCCTCCCTTCACATCAGAGTCCAACTTTACATTAGTCCCCCCTTTACATCAGGAGCTCTCTTCACATCAGAGCCCCCTTTTCCTATCAGATTCCCCTCTTTTACATCAGAGTCTCCCCCTTTCACATCAGGAGCAGTCTTCAAATGAGAAGCCTGCCTGCACCATGGAAAGGCATGAGATGTGCAAAAAGTTTAGGACACCTCGGAGGAAGCCAGAAGGCACCCAAGGGTGCCACTGCACACTGGTTGAGATAGCTTAATTTTCTTATTTATAAACAACAAGAATTGTAAATAAGACCATGGAAGAGCAAAGTGATTAGCACAAATATTGGTTTACTTTGAATCAATATTTGCAGCTAATGGTTATCCTGGTTACACAGTTCGCGCAAATTTGTGTGTCACAGTGACAGGTCCCCATAATCCTTACTATCCCCTATGACCCAGGAAAAAAGCGTACCTGCCTCTTACAGTAGCCAAGTCAACCGAGTGAAATGCATGGAAACTCTACTCATATTGAAACCCTGCACAGAGGTGCATGCTGCCTTGGATGAGAGGGATGTGTGACAGGGTAGTGTATGTTAGGCAGCCAGATTAGTCATATACAATTTCTATTTTTTGTAGAAAGAAAAGAAAAAAATTGATTTTTGTACACGTTGTAAAATCCTTTTCTCGTGTACCGATCTCCCTCTAATCCCCTGTTACAGAGCCACCATGCTGGTTCCGGGCTCGCACCAGGCACAGCGGAGCCCGGGACCAGTGTGACAGCGGGAGGGGGGGCGGGGGGGGGACGGAGTGGCAGCTTCTACAAGCTCTATAGCCGGGGGATCGCTTGTATGTTAACAGGCATCGCTGCCTGGTTTTAAATTGAGGCAGTTTACAGCGAGTGGGCGGACCTGGTGGGACGTTTAAATACGCCCACTCAGATCTAAAAACTCCCGGCCTGCCGTATTATGACAACGGCCGGCCGGGAGGCGGTTAAAGGACGCAGCAGGATCCAGTAGAATTTTGACCAACGTTTTTTGCCTAGCATCCTACTCCTGCAGGTGGAGATATAATTAATCGATCAAGATCCTATTGGATTCTGCTGTGTCCAATGAACAGAAGAGAAAATGATTTTATGGTAAGTACTCCATAAAACTGAGCTGCACTTTGAGTGCTGAACATCTAGACTGTGTGTCTGGGATCAATTTGCAATGTCTATGGGGAGGACATGGACAGTGTTCAAATTGCAATTTGTGTGGTGGGTGTGTGACTGGAGACTGTGGGGGGGAAAGGGACACGTGGGAGGAGTGATAACACTGGTGGGGGGACTAGGGATGCACCAATACCGATACTGGTATCAGTGCCGATACTATTTATTTTAGTACTTGCCCAAATGCTCCAATACTTACCCCAATACTGGAACTTCCGGTCAGAGGGAGATTCCTTCTGACCGGCAGTGCCATGAGGGAGCATGGAGCCGGCTTCCCCACCAATCAGGAAGCTGGGCAGCGGGGCATGTCCTGCCTCCCGGCTTCCTGATTGGCTAGGAAGCTGGCTTCACTTGTTGCTAGGCAGCCTGGCTTCCTGACCAATCAGGAAGCCAGGTGCCACATCATGGTCAGGAAGCCAGGCAGCCTCGCAGTATCTATCAAAAGAACACCAGCTTCCCAGGCAATCAGGAAGCCGGGCAGTGGGTCATGACCCGCTGCCCGGCTTCCTGATAAGCTAGGCCAACAGTACCTCGGGATGCCAATATCGGTAACCAGTAGCAGAAAAAAATATTGATACTCGTGCTCGATACCAAAAAAACGGTATCAGTGCATCCCTAGGAAGGAGCTATCTGCGTGCGGGAGATGTAATGTTACTGGGGAAGGACCATGAAGAGGTTGTTTTGCACAGCAGCATGAAACTCTGCCTTAGGCATTATCCTAGGGTTGCCACCTGTCCAGGATTCACCCGGACAGTTCGGGTTTTGGATGCTGTGTCCGGGTTTCATGGCAGCAGAAACCTGGACACAAGATGTCAGGCAGACAGGGGCAACCAAAATTAAGATAGAGGCTACCGGCCCCCCACTGTACAGTCTCGGCTGTGATATTTACCTATGAATGGGTGGCGCTATTTACATATGAATAAGCCACGACTCCAAAAAAATGTCTGCTTGTCGCTAGAGTGTTCGGGTTTTGCTTGAAGAAAAGGTGGCAACCCTACATTATCCCCAATGGCAGAGTGAAAGTGAAACTTCTGTGCTGAGATAATAAAACTCTTCCTGGGTCTTTATATAATTAAAAGAAGGAAAGCATAATTTTTTCCCCTCGGTTAGGTAAGTAAAACTGCCAAAACTGCTTGGCACTGCTTGAAAAAAAATTTAACTTTCTTTGCTAAAATACTTTCGTGGCCTCTGCATAATGTATCTTGTATTTAATATCAGACTGTTAGAACTGCTCAGTACTGTTTGAGGTAACAATTAGGATTTGTTTGCCTTAGTATCAATCCTGTCAGAGAATGGCATATTTCATCATTCAGCTTTCACTGATTGGTGCGCTTCAAGATCCCCCTATAATATGAGGATATTGGAAGTGGTTGTGACAGATGTCATTGCACACAAACCAAAATGCCCAGGATGGTAATGGCAGTAGAAGTTGTGAACAGACTGGCATCTTCCATAGTTCACACATTCCAAGAGGCCCATTAACCCACAAGTGAACACAGAGTACTTGACTTGGTCACCAGTAAAATTCTGACAAACATTAACCTACATTACTGTGTAAGAGGAATTTTTGTTGAGTTTAGGAAATCCTTCCTAGCTCCTTGCTATTGCTGGGCTCTACCAGGGAGCGCCTACAAACAAAAAGAAAATTAAACACATTGGGGATTATTTTACTAAAGCTGGTCATACACTGTTATATTTTTTTTTTGTTCACAAAAAAAAATAAAATATAAAGGATTCCTCCATGCATGCCAAAACAGTGTGGATGATTGAATCTCCCACTGGGCTATTGTTGCTGGGTGTGTCACTGTCAGAATGCCCGGTTGGCTGCCATGACGGCTTGCCAAAAGATTTTCAATCCAACTCCTTACATTTTCTGATTGAAGGATGCTGGACGGAAGACTGCTGACAGGGCCACACACTGTTAACTGGCCTAAAGAACTGTCTGAAATTCACACAGTATGTGCCAGCTTGAAGTAATAGAGGACCTTAGAAAGTTAATTTTTGCTTAGCTTAGTGAATTACCTGACTTCATTCATCTCTTCATGTGCAAGCAAAAATTCTACTCCTTACCACACTTCCTCCCATCCCTGGAACTGAAAGTCCATACCTCGGTACAGACAGGGACTGGGAGGAAGAGTCTGCAGGAGCCAGAGCATTGCACCTGAAACCCACTGATCATGGTTTCATGGCAATGCTTTACTGGCTCCAATGCAAAAAAATTATAAATGCACATTTTGTTTCTTTTATGAATTTGTGTGCACATTTTTTGTAAAAGCTGAACTATGCCTTTAACAGTATTTTAATGTATCCACAGACTGTTATATGGTGAACATACTTTAAAGTAAAGCAAATAACTTGCTGCCTCCAAAGGCATATTCTGGTATTAACTTTCCCAATAATGATCTGTGCGAATGATTCCCGAAAGCGGTAGATCCTGTATGAAAAGACACATCATTCTTGTAGGCCTAGGGGAGAAGAATTGCTAAACGCAGGCTTGAAAAAAATGTTTATATGTTTTATTAACCTGGAAAGCCCTAAGGTTTGGGCTTACAAAGTTCAGTGCAAAGAAATGCATGTAATACTCGGAAAAGGGGTGACTGAAATCCAAACAGGTTGGAATTCTGCTAATACAATGAAGCCGTTCAATCCCTCTAATGCAAAATATATCAAATTTCCATGTACAAATTGCTCTCTTCGTAATGACTCTACAGAGATGTATTACTAGATTCTTCTTATTAAACCGCTTCACAGCATACCATCCACCAAAACAATATATTTTACTGTGCTAAATTGGACAGCCACAAACTAAATGGATAATCAAATTATTTGTATGCAGGTTCGTAAGCTTTGCGGAGAATAATGTAATTATAGATAATAAAAATATTTGCAGTTCACTGATTAGCCTTGTTTTCAAACATTTTCACTCATTACATATAAGTGAATCGAAATTCATTTCTCCAAAACTTCTAAGAAAATTGGCAGATTTTGGCAAAATTTGGCATTCAGGGGAATTGCGTTGGAATTGTGGTGAGCAGCGTGAGTGTCTTGTAGCTGAGGAAAGCTACAGAGCCATAGCAAGGACTGTCTTATGTTGCTGTTTCAAGCTATTTTGTGTTTGCCCTTTCAATAAACGGTGTTTCCTTGACTTACCTGGACTACAGTGGAGTGTCCTTGTTACAGTAGGCAAAATGAAAGTGTTTCTTGGCGGTGGTAAGTGTGCAAAAGGCTTTTAATTAGGGTACAATAATGCTCGATTCTCAGTAAGTTGTATTTGTTTTGTCTTACTGGCACCAGAACGTACCTTGCCAGCGCACCAATACACGTATGTTTAAGCCCACCACAAATCAAAGATGTGATCCATCCATGCATGGTGTTGTGGTACCTTTGAAGAAAAAGAGCCACTTTTTGTGAATTGAGGAGCTCTACCAGCCCATATAAACTTAATTGGCTGCGTTAATGCAGGCCACCTTAACACACAGAATCGTGTCCTGTTAATGCAGATGCAACACATAGTCTAAAGCTAGCCCTATTCTATACGTTCTTCACTGATTAATTTTACTGGGGCTCTGCATAGTTACCTAAATATTGACTTGCATTACATATAAAAGGTAAATTGTTACAGGAAACTGCCCTAATTCAACTGAAAGATGCCATTTTATTTTTAGATGGAGCCTACCCTAAGTCAGCCCCTGTCTTCTTTATGTGTCTTTTGTAGCACCTACTTGCCCCCTGATGGTGAATGAGGATACCCAGATGGCTCATTGGGCTAGAATGTCAACTGATGGTGGAATACTTGACTCTTTGTGGGGTTAGAGAGCTCCAGGCACTTTTAGAAATGTAATAGGGTTCATTATAGGACCAATATCTCGGAGAGAGGGGTTAGGGCACAGGCACTGGTGGAACTACCAGGGTCGCAGCAGTCGCATTTGCGACTGAGCCCTGGCGTTCCACCACTTGGAGGGGGGGGGGGCCCTGAAAACGAAGAAGAGGGCCCGGTTCCTACACTGACGTTTGCTCCTGTCAGGGCCGATGTGTGGAGCCGGTCCGGTCCACTGCATATAAATCTTGATGCTCACAGGCAGATGCGCGACATGTGCTGTGCACTGCACTGTGAGCTTGGCAGCATGTCCCGGGTCACATCGGTCCAGCTGCCCCCCACTTTCCTAGCCTTGGTCTTCTGTAAAATCGAGGACATGGCCGAGGGGGAGAAGGGCAGCCAGATTTTTCAACAGGAAGCTGGTCCAGGCTGAGCCTGAGGTGTGAGTCTAGGGCTGGCTGGAGAGCTAGGTGCTGCTGGTCCAGGGCAAGAGTGCTGAGAGATGCTTGGGTCAGAAGACCCCCCCCATTTATAATTGCTGCCTGGGGGTTACTTTTTAATAACTCCTGACAATTAATATTATTTTCCACCCAGGCAGCAATAACATGTCCCCCCCCCGCAAATATTAATAATCCCCACCCAAGTCGGCAATAACAAATTATTATTGCTGCTAGGAAGGGTCAGGTAGGCTGCATGAGACCACACACATGCACTATTCCCGGTAACTGCCAAGGCGCCAACATTTTTTTTATGGTGGGGGAGTGGGGGAGGGGCCCTTCATGGTTTCTTGCATCGGAACCCTGAGGTTTCTAGTTACGCCTCTGGGCACAGGATACCCAAAATGATGAAAAACGCATACTCCAGACCCTACTTATAAATCAATGCAGAATAAAGAGCCTTTGAGCTAGACCAGAAATCTGTTTTCAGGCTGTATAGCAGTTTCCAACAGCACCTATACTCCTGGGATGAACCACCTGAACTCCCTGCATTGTTCCCAAATAGTACCCAGCTCTTCTGGACACACTTTCACAGTGAAGAAGCCGAGAAAAGGAAGGAAGCTTCAGGCCACAGGCTTGGGCCTCTCTTTAGCAACACAACCTCCAACAGGCAGACAGTGAATGCAATTCACTATGGTTATATCTCCTTTGCACAGCATATGGATGTACCCCTTTTAGTTGGGTGCTGGAACAACTGGTGGATTGCGCCACAGCATACTGCTAAAGGATATATTGTCCACACCCCTTTTAGCTTCAGAATCTCGCTATTGCAGCACAAAAACTGCAACATTTTGGAACCATGCAAGTTCCCTTTGTCGGGCAAACTCATCAATAAAGATGAGATTCTGAGGCTACGAGGTGTGCGAACGACTTATCCTTTATTAATAATGGGAAATGCAACAACACACACACACCTCCTCACCAGACAGAGGCCTGGGAGGGAAGAGAATTTCCATAAGGTCACCCCAATCCTTCCCTGGGATACACCACTGGCAATTCACCTTCTAGTGGTTGGTCAGGGAAACATAAACATAAATATACATAACTAAGAATGATAGTATCTTCTTAAACTATTGCTAGGGACACTCCCCAATGAAAGCGGAACTATAAATCCAAGCTCAGGCTGAGTAAAGTCCAGAAGCACTAAGTTTAGGCTAGGGTTACTTCTGCTTGGGTTACGGTCCCTACACTTGAATAGTCCAAAAGCAAAATCTAAGTGCCACAATTTCGGATTCAATTCCTCTCCACTTGGGGTTTTGCTTGTTTCCCATTTACACATTCCATCTCCTTTCATTGCAATTTCAATGATACAAGATAAAACCCAGATTCAACATAGGACCACTCATTATGCCCTAAGTAAATATACACACTTTGAGAGTTATAAGAAATAGCCATGTTGTCCAGAATCTACAGAAAAATTAAATACTACTTTTGGGTGGACTGACCCCTAAATGCATCAGGCCCTGTACATATAAGGATGTACATAGAGTAGATGACAAGTTAATTTCCTGTACCTGTTGTTAGGTTGCTCTTCCTTTTTGTATTTTTAGTAAAATAATTTTTATATAGAAAGAATTTGATAAGAATTTGCTGATAGAACCTGCTGGTAGTGTACTCTTGTAAAGCTATACAACCAAAGACCATTTTCTTTATACCCTGATTATGCAGTCATTGTTTGAAAAGCTCCTTGAAATCAGTTTAATAAATGTACTCGGTGTACATTGTGCTGCTTTGTCCTATGTTATTGTAGCAAGGAAAATTGGATTGAATAAAATCATTACTAGTACCACATGATGTGAATTCTATCCACACATATGGTATCAATATTTTTTTGTTGCTAATTAGTGTGGAGTTCCAAATGTATCTCATATGCTGTATGATTCTCCATTTAGCACTGAGAAGATTGTGACTGCTTTGCTGCACGTCTCGTGTGCTTCCATGAACTGCAATGTCACGTTCCCAGAGAAGTGCAAATAGTGACCGGATTCCACCATCCCAGAGATCGTACAATGATAGACCAAGGAGAGAACGGCCCAGCCACAATGGATTAACAAATGGAAACAATGCTGGACACCAGGTTGACAGAGAGAGGAGAGACAGAAGATCACATGAAAGGTATTGAGCTCATGGAATTGTTAATGATCTGAACCAATGTTTACAATACTGTATATCATTGTAAAAATGTTTGAAGGAATGGTTATCCATAGCAACCAGGCTCTTCTATGCAACTTCAACTCCACAGGAAAAGGTTGCAATATAACTGGATGTAGTTCTCAGGCATTTGGCAAATTGCACCCATAGATAGCTCTCAAGTTGAAGGAATTAAAGATGCCTTTGTTTTTACATGTATGCTTGAATGTGATCAGCCTTGAACCCCAATTCCAGTCAAAAAAGGGAAGTATTCTGTCAAGTTTTAAATGTGGTTTATGTTACCTTTAAGGAGATTTTAACTGTCTGGTTTTAAATGCTTTCTCACACCTGTTACTTGCACAGGACTTGAGGGCATAAAAAGATCTCTCCTTTATTGGTAAACAGACAGTAATAAAAGCCCTTGATTTGCCTTGAAAAAAGGGACCTTGCAAGACCCTGGAACATCTGTATATATGTCTGTGATGCTCTTCTTCACAATAAATTTGTAAGATGCAACTACATGCCTGGTGTGTTGGTGACTTAATATCCCAGAAAGAAAGCCCTGAGTTTCTAAACCATTCTTTACTGGAAAATATGCACTTATTACTGTCTCTGTCCAGTTGGAGTGATTTCCTCTCCCCTGACAGTCATCAAATAGACAAATAAATGTAATTTCTCCTTCCTTCTTGTTTTTGACATCCATCAAATAAACAAGAGGTGAAACAGCACTTAAAAGTTGACAGAAGTTCTAACCTTTCCCTGCCCTATTCAAAACTTTTTACAAAATTGCTGGATTTTGGCTTTAATATACATAATTTAAAAAATGTTGTTTCAGTATAGTAGTACTGCATAGTGAGTGGTACTATGCGGTAAGTCTGACCTGAGTGAATACAATAGATTCTCTATGCATCTAACTGTGCATATCTCAACAGTCATAAAAGCTGGACTTCTAGCTAAATGCACAGTTGAGGTACACATTTAAGAGCTGTTTTACTTTCTATGGGATTTATAATTCTCTCCATCCATTTCTAAGTGTTACAAAGTCCCGCAGACAGCAGAGCCATGTTGGTGACCTGACCACTGCAGTTAAAGTGACTCTACACTCAGGAGTTAAATCTTAAAAATGCATTCAAGGACCTTAATCATTAATAAAAATGTATCTTATTTGTATATCACTCGACTGTAGATCCTCTAATCATCACTGAATTGGTGCTGACACTGTCCTTCCTTCTGGAGGGTGTCTACGTTTGTTCCCCCATGGTCCCTGTGTGTGTTGACAAGAAGCCACAGCTCCAAGCTAACTCCTGTGCTGGACTACAATCTGAGGTTTAAAATACTAATTTGTATTAAGAGTATTGTAGTCCATTACAGGAGTGAGCTTGGAGCGGTGGCTACTTTACAGCACACAAAGGGACCATGGGGAACAAAAGTAGAACCCTCCAGAAGGAAGGACAGTGTCAGCATGAATTCAGTGATGATTTGAGGATCTACAGCCAAATGATACACAAATAAGATTTATGACATTTGTTAATAGTTAGGTACTTGAATGCATATTTATATACACTTAACTCCTAAGTTTGGTGTCACTTTAAGCAATATAGCCTGGTCACCCCTCTGTCCCTGGCCTATGACTAGACAGTGAAGGAGCAACTGTACTGTTATTAGCTCATCCCTCTGCTCTCTTCTCAAGTCAGCCTGTTTTCTTATTAACACACGTAGCATACCTTTTATTGGTCCCATGTGCAGCTACTCCTTCCCCAAGTCTAAGCTCTGCTGTATGGTGTATTCCAAGAGGTTAATATCTAGTAAATGTCAGGTATTTACACTAGTTGCGTTTACAAATACATTTAGCAATTTGGAATACTTAACTACATTAATTGCACATATCTGTCTGGAGTCCAGGTTTAAAAGAGAATTATGTTTTAGGCAGACTTCTCTTTAGGGTCACAGGAGGACATTTACTATGTCCTCCTGTGACCCAAAACTCTGCATATAGCAGGCTATTGCCCTCCATAAGCTGACAGCGCAGAGCCGCGCTGTAGCTGTCGTGATCCACCCCGCTTCCTGATTGACTCTCTCTAGAGGCAGAGCCAGCTGTGCCTGCCCCCTCCGTTGTCTATCCCTCCAGTCAGCACTAGAGGAATGGAGCGTGGAGGAGGGAATCCCTGCAGGGAGTGGTCAATGACAGTCACCACTCTCTGCAGGGAGAAGATCATGAGATATGTAATCGCTCAGTTCTCGATCAATAGAGCCGACATGTGACCACTGCAGTGTCACACATCAGCTCTAATTTTGGGGATGAGTGTATTTCACTCTCCCCATAAATCTCCCCATATATGCTAGACCCATTCCCTAATATTTAGATGACCAATAGAGGGAGATTTTACAAATCTGTATAAGAGATAGAATAGTCATGATATGGAAGAGGAAGGATAGTAATTATTTTCCACCTTAAGCCACCACTCCTTTTTACATTAAAAAATTGTCTATGGCCTCAACAGATTGAAACATGGAAATTGTTGAATAGCACCATATCGCAAATATTGAAGAAAAAAAAAACACACACACACACAAGTGCCAGGATGGTTTTGTTATACATATAGAGAGTGGGTCTGGATTGCTGGTGTCAGTCTATTTTATTCTGTCATTGTACAGGCTGTAATAATTGAATAGTTTATAGTGCAATTATACTGCTAAACTAAAACTTGCAGCTAAATTCCAGGCAGATTTAAATGACACACATTAATGCCACTGTGTATTCATCAATACATATTAATGCCACTGTGTATTCATCAATACATAAATAATCATAATGTTTTTAATGCAACTAGTGTAAGTACCTGGATTTGACTTCATTTCAGCCCCTTGCAGTTCACTGTATTGGGAGAGGGAGCGGAAGCACTGAGAACCAATCTTTTGCACTGCATGCAAATATGCTGGAAAGGAACAAGTTAACAGTAGAAGGGAGCAAAGTGAGCAGAGAAATTATCTCATCAGTCAGTTGCGGTTTCTTCATTGTTCAATTGCAGGCTGGAAGCAGGATTGTGGCAGCAGCATATTGCTTAATTATAATAGAGAAAGTGGTATCGTCTGAATGGTGTGCTGTGTGGAAGAGGTGGGTAACTCTCAGGAGTAAATGGAAGCAAGTCCTTTTGGCAGCTAAAACAGTTCCAATATATACATTTCATTCCTGCATTTCATTTTCATTCCTGTATTTAGACCTTGTCTGGTCTTTCATCAATTTACTTAAGATGTTTTAGTTTAAGGTAAAGCTTTAAAATGATTGTGATGAGAGAACATGTCTTTGTATTTTGTATGCAGGTTATCATCACAGGCACCAGTACGAAGCCAGCATTCCAGAGCACCAACAGTTGTTTCAGACCATCATTCAAGACAAAGTAGACCATCCCTTTCACAGTACAATCCTCCCACTCACAGAAGCCATACAGAGAAAAGGACCTTCTCAGAGAAGTGCTCCAATCTATGTTCACGAAGAGGTAATTATGTTGAAGATATATCATTGTAATTGAGGAGATATTTCAGTTGTTTTATTAAATATCTTACAGGCAGTGTTGCTTTTTAAAGTGATAGTGCCTGCTAATATAGTAAGTGGAGTGAACACCTGCTGAATATTCTTAATTCCTATGAAAACCATATAATAGATTAAATGGAAAAATAGAATAAAGTGACACTAAACTCAGGCGTTCAATCTTAAAAATTCATTCAAGTACCTTAACAATTAACAAACATGTAACTTATTTGTACATTATTCAGCTGTAGATCCTGAAATTATCTATGAATTTGTGCTGGGATTGTCCTTCCTTCTGGAGGGTGCCTACTTTTGTTCTCTATGGTACCTGTGTGTGTTGTAAAGTAGCCGACGCTCCAATCTTGCTCCCATGATGGATTACAATCTCACATTTAGTTTACTAATTTGTATAGAGAGAGTAGTCCCTAACAGGAGTGCACTTGGAGCGGTGGCTACTTTACAATACACACAGGGACCATGGGGAACAAAAGTAGCCACCCTCCAGAAGGTAGGACAGTGTAAGCAAAAAATCAGAGATGATTTGAAGATCTACAGCTGAATGATACACAAATAAACTACATTGTTGTTAATAGCTAAGGTACTTGAATGCATTTTTGAAATTTAACTCCTGAGTTTAGCCCATCACCAGGACTCTTGTGCCTTCTACAAAGCAGCGCATTCATGTAGGTCTTAAACCACTGCACTTCCCTCAGTATGCACAGGATCAGGTATATCAGAATGTTGTGGAGCTTTATATCTCATGTCTATCCTTGAAAAGTGGTCCCTCAAAACAAATTTTCACCATGACAATAACAGTGGCCTCATACTCCTCTTTCATCATACGTAACTGTGTCCTTGTTCGTGGCAGGAAGGAGCGTAAACCTAATATATCCACAGGGATTTATGATCGGCAGTTGGAAGATTTGAGAATTTAGATTTGTAAGGATGGGGTGTCAATAGCTACTCTGCAGGTCATCGCTTAATTCTGGAACTTGTATGATTTAATCTATAGGTGTAGGAGGTTTTGGGTTTTCACTTAAAATCTACTAATAGTGATCATCTGAAGTGTGTGGCTCTGTTTTTATCTCTGGGGCTATCTATTGTTATTGGTATGGCAGTGGGGGGTCTTTGCCTGTCACAATCTTAGTGGGTTTTGACTGGTAAATACCACTTGTTTACAATATGAAATTGTAGGTATGTTCACAAAGTGACATGGCAATCTGTCACTAAACATGGTGTTGTGGTATGCAGGTACCAACAGTGACTGTAGTAGGTGCAAACAACCAACCTGCCCTGTGCTGGATTGCTATACTAGCAAAATCTAACTGCTTGTAAAGTTTTTTTCCTTCAGCGGAGCAGTACCGTGTTTTCCCAAAAATAAGACCTACCCCAAAAATAAGACCTAGTACTATTTTTGGGAATTGCTAAAATATAAGACCTACCCCGACAATAGTTTGGGAATGGTCTTACGGGCCCTGGGTCACTAGTTGTGACCATTCCCAGGGCCGGTGGTGGCATAAGGGGGAACTTGAAGAGCCGCGGGAGAGAATCAGCAGTGCCAACTAAGCCAGCGCTAGAGGAAGCGAGGCGGCAGCAGAGGGTGCAGAGCCGCATAAGCCGATGCTTACTCTATAGCGCTGGCTCCTGCCACAGGCGGAGTGATGCCAAATGCACGACGCCTGTGAGGAATCAATAGTGAAAGCGTGCTTCGCTCATTCTGGCCAGTGATTGTTTACCAAATTGCTCTTGGAACGGTACGGCACACCTGACTGGCCTGATAACCATATTTTTATACATGAATACATGTAGACTGTTGTACATGAATAAGTGTGGATTGTTGTACATTAAAAAAACAGACCCATCTAAGCCGATTGCGTGTAAAACTTGTGTCAGTCATGCAATTGCATTGTTGTAATGTGTCATCTGCACTCCATACACCGTTTATGGACCAGAAGTTCATAAGTTGCGGTGCATGTAGTGATGACACAGATGGCGCCGTGTGTACTCAGGAATGGATGGATGGACCACCAGCACTCTCAAAATCCAAAAAAGTGGATATCTAATCAATTGCATGTTGGCACACGTCAATGCATGTTCTAATGCACATTAACCTATGAAAAGGGTGCTACTACATGTTGAAACAGTGCTGGGCCTCAGTCAGATAAACAGCAAAAGTAAAATGTCAACCTAAGTCAATTACTTTCTTAAAAACTAGATGGTAGATACTTCACAGCACATGGTACCCACACAGGACTTTCTGTCTGTATTTCCTTAATCTATTCTTATAGTTTCCAGTTTCACTCCCTAGTCCCTACTACTGACCCTCAGAAACTAACAGACCCCAAAGTGACCATACCTAACTCTTGTGTCTTGTCTGTGTGTAACGCGGTATGACATCAAATCTGTGTCTGCTTCTAACACAGCGAGTGGGGGGAATTTCTGGCAGCTAGTTGAAAGCATGAGCATCAAGCAAATACATTGTCTGTGACTGTGACAAATGCCACATACCAAATACCCTTTTTTTGGGTCATTGACAAAGCTTGACAGGGAAAAGGATGTTGGATGCAAGCTTCATACCAGCGGTTCTTTGTTTTCAGTTCTAGTTAGCTAGCTGAATTACTATATTTTCTTATACTTTCTTATACTATCAAATGTTCTATCCCTCTGGATGCAAAGTGCAATCTTTTTGAGCTTTGCACAAGCAGGTATATGTCTCTATGAAGCCTTAAAAGTTTGAAGGCCATTTTTTGGACAAGCTATTGAAGATAAAACTCTAACAGGGCTATTCACAAAACGGTGAAGAGTTTGGAGAAGGCAGGAGAAGTGAACAATCTAGGACAAAATAGCTGATTTGGAAAAATTCTCCAATTCAGCTCACTTTCCAGTTCAGCTATGCTGTCCTAGATTGTACTAGATAGGACTAGATAGGACTGAAAGTGAGGGAAAATTATAACTTTTGATTTGTCACAAAAGGAATAGAGGGCAAATCTTTCACTTATTACTTACTTATAACTTATTCCAGCGACAGCTTTCTAAGAGGGCTTCTCCTTCATTTTGAAAATATTTTCTCACCTTTTTGTTGTGTCTACAGGACAGGAAGTGGGGGAAAATCTCCCCAATGGGATAAAGTTGACCCTTCCCTACTATATCCAACGTGGTGACGGGTTAGAACACCTGTCAGGATTTTATTGCTGTTTGTGTCTCCATTAAGGAGATTTACTGTCCTTAATTTGGTCTGGTGACCACTGTCACAGGAATTAAAAGTGAGAGAAAATAGATATAGAGGAAATAGAGGGAAAATCTACACATGGGTACACTTGTTCCTGTGACATCTATCAGGAGGGATTTTTTTTTCTTCACTTTGTAGATATCTCCTATCACTTCCTGTTGTGTCTACAGAATGTGAAAGGAAATCTCCAATGTGGGCAAATAAATACCTAAACAGTTTTACCTAACAGAGTTTAAACCATTCCCTACTCTATGCAAAAATGTAAAAAACATTTTGAATTTAGATAAATAAACAATATGAACTATACACCATTTTGTCTTTAGTTATAGTACTTCATAATAGGTGGCAAAGCTTCAAAATTGTTAATGCAAGAATTAGTAGTTGCATCAGCCTGATTAAAGTAAACACTGCTCCAAACTTGCTCCAATGATGGACTACAATCTCGCATTTAGTTTACTAATTTGTATTGAATGTAGTCTATCACAGGAGTGAGCTTGGAGTGGTGGCTACTTTACAACACACACAGTGATCACGGGGAACAAAAGCAGCTGGGTACAGCTGGCTCTGCCTCTGGATAGGCAGAGCCAGCTGTCACTCACGCAGCTGGGCGGATCCAGACATAATTGGCAGGATCCGTTCCGGCTGCGGCGTCTCAGTATACCGCGAGCTGTAGCTCATGGTATACTGAGCTTTGGGTGACGGGAGTACGCTAGTTTGTGTCCTCCAGTTACCCTTAGGAGAACTATGGGGAATAGCTCTAACCCCATAGTTCTCCTTTAAATCAGCTAAATACATTACAGGGATCAAAACAAAGGATGTTCAATGTCCTTGTTTTTTAGGAAAGCAGTCAAAACCTATATATATATAAGCATCTGTGGTTTGCCAGCATCTGCGTAGTGGGACCTTTGCACTCTGTGTGGAAGCAGTGATCTTTCTGTAGAGGTCTAACATGCTACCCTACTGAGTCACAGCCAAAGCTCAGCAAAGCTCATGCTGCCTGCTGATTGGGGACTCAGCAGGGGGCATGCCAGACCTCAGCAAAGAGAACACAGACTCCACACAGGGAGCAAGGGTCAATTTCTACCTCATGCTAGCAGGGGACAGGCTTTCCTACCTAGTTTTTTTTAAATATAATACAAATGTAACCATAGTGAAAATAAATACAATGTGGTATATATAAACCACAAGATAAAATCTTTAGGGTTTCCAATACAATACTTCATTGTTCTCTGAGACGCCAGCAAATGTGGCAGCCCCCCTCATGCCATGCTTAATGCATTATATACAAAGTCATTGGCTGGATCCCCTCATAATTAAAAGCAAAGACTAGTAAATAATAAAAATACAATTGAGATTTGTGTAGTAAACATGCCGCGGAGAGTCCACTGAGAAGAGCAGACTCCAGGCCATTGTCCAAATAACAGAAAACACATTTCAGTTTATTAGTTTAATGTCACATCACACATTTTTCTAGTTTGAAAACAATGAGACTAGTTTTCCCCCTTTTAATAACGCATTGAACTTTATGTAGATGGAGGAAAAATTAATAATATGTATGAATATCGATAACAAAATGAGCAAATATGAGGCAAGTATCCTGGTGTTTGTACAATCTATACATCTCTATTACGTATTTCTCAAGTCTGCATACAATATATAGTCCTTACTCAATGTGTGCGGCTGATGTCCTACTGATGTCACACATTGACCTTGCTGCTGTCAGGTGATTGCATGATGAA